CCAGAGCGCCACTTTATAAATACATTAATTCTTCCAAAATACCCCCACAAACTAGAGAGACCCTATTCCAAATATTAAGTTTTAGATAGAGAAAGTTTCTTAAAATTTTAGAGAGGTTCCTACATCCAATTTCAGAAAGACAAACTTCCTGAAAATTTTTGGCGAGAAACTATATCAGAAAGTTTAGAAAGAAATATTATATCAAATTTTAGAGAGAGAAACTACTTGAAATATTTTAGAAAGAAGCTATTTGAAAACTTTTAGAGAGAAACTATCTTAAATTTTAAGTTTTAGAGAGAGAATCTTAAATTTTTTGGGAGACTAATCAATATTTAAAGAGAGGAAGCACCTGAAAGTTAAGTTTTTGAGAGAGAAAGTATCTTAAAATTTTAGTGAGAAACTATAATAAAATTTAGAGAAAGAAGCTACCTAAAATTTTTTAGAGAGAAATATCTCAAAACTTTTAGATGTTAACTTTATCAAAATAAAATAAAAAAAAAAAATAAGCTATCTCAAAACTTTTAGATAGAGAAACTATTCCGAAGTTTGTTGAGAGAGAAAGTATCTCAAATTTTGAGTTTTAGAGTGAGAAAGTATCGTAAAATTTTAGAGAGAAACTCTATCAAATTTTAGTGAGAAGCTACCTAAAAATTTTAGAGAGAGAAACTATCTCACAATTTCGAGCGAAACTATCTCAAACTTTTAAGTTTTAAAGAGAAAGTATCTTCAAAGTTTAGAGAGAAACTATCTCAAATTTTAGAGAGAAAAACTACCTGAATTTTTTTATAGAGAATCCATCTCAAAATGTATTAATGAGAGGAACTATTTCAAAGTTTTTAGAGAGAAGCTATCTCAAATATCAAATTTTTAGTGTGAAATTGTATGAAATTTTTTTGAGAGAGAAACTGTCTTAAAATTTTTAGAAAGAGAAAGTTTATTAAATTTTAAATCTTAGAGCGAAACTATTTCAAATTTTTAGAGGGAGAAGCTATCTCAAAATTTCAAGTTTGATGTGTTCTCTCTCTCTCTCTCTGCCTGTTTCCAATTGTGTTTACCAAATATGGGAAAAAGTATTTGTGAACTTTGCACATATTAATATTTCTCATGTAAAAATTTTGCAATCAAACTTTCACATGTACCAAACTATCCCTAATAGCAAACGAGGTTATACAAAAAGATGATCGAAACATGAGATTTGCGTAAACTGGGTACCATTTAAAGCCATCAAAATAGTCATTGTTTCAGTAACCAGGTTTTAACAAACCCAAGGGTTGGCATAATAAGGCTTTGATTTAAAACCTGGGTTTGTTAACTCATGGAGCCAAACAAGCCATAAGTGGGTAGAGTATATCTCGCGTTTCTTTTTTTTTGCTATTTTATAAAGGCTTGAACATTGCTTTAGAATTTAGAAGATGGATCTTTTCAATTGGAATAATATTATTTTTGTATCTTCCTCATATTAGCTATCATGTCTCTTAAAGGAATATTTTGGCTTTGCCCTCATTGATATCATATTTGTAGTACATGTAGGATTAAGTTTGTGAGATTCCTACAGTAGATGTTGCTAAAAAGGTCTCATGTGGATAGAGTCCGAAACGCCTTATAAAATCCTTTAAGGGTATGAAAATATGCAAACTGAATTTAGGTCGTGGTCGTGGGAATGTTGAAAGTGGACCACATGAACTAGCACGGTTTATGTAGTTTAAATTTTTTCTTTTTCCAAACCAGTTAGCACACTTATTAAAGGCTATAGTTTACAAAATTAACTCAAATGAACAAATAAGAACGCAAATTTAGATTCACTTCTTGCTAGTTTAACAACTCCAACAAAAACTTCATAACCATTTACTTGGGACCAAGAAAGATAAACTGCAGTAAAGTAAAAGAACATGCCAAAAGATTACCTCAATTGGACTTGATACACCCCACTCAGGTCTCCTCATCCGATAGTGCACAAGATTAAGGTCTTTCTTAGATCTCACAACTATGGGAAACTTTGGCTAGAAACCCGTCAAGAGTTACAAGAGCAATGGAACATGCTAGGGCCTTGGTCGCTGATCTAATGTATATGGGGCGTGTCCCCTCTTTTCATTCTCAATATATTTCTTGGTGTGGGAGAAAGGTTGAGGCTAGAGAGATGTGAGAGGGTGGTGTGTCACTTTTGGGGGGAGAGAGAGAGAGAGAGAGAGAGAGAGAGAGAGAGAGAGAGAGAGAG